TTATTATTCTATTTATACCATGTAAATATTAAATTATATATGTACTTAAATAATGAAACACGTACGAATATTGCAACAAATAAATACAATAAATTTATCTAACATAATTATTAAACTTTTAATAAAATTTTCATAATATTTTGAAAATTCTAAAAATGTTTTTTTAAAAAAATATTTTCGAAATACAATTTTTTTTAAAATCCAAATAAGTTAATTTGAACACGAATAAATAATTTATCTATCAACATAAGTGTTATATAAAATTTAAAACAAACCGTATAGTTCTTAATTAATTGGGATAAAATAATTTGTTATAATTAAAAGTTTATTTAAATAATAATAATTGCACAAACTTTATTCGAACAAGACTTTTATAAACTATCGTGCAAATTATTAGATAACATCTCTGCCATTATATATAGACCATTTATATACTCGTACTTATCGATTATTCTTTTCATTCATATGAATTATAGTCCTTTATAATTAATTTTATTTAAATTTTCACTTATAACCCGCTATATCTAAGTTCAATATAAAAAAAATTAATTTAAAAGTTACATAGCATCGCTTTTAAAAGTATAAACAATTATGTACCCCCAAAAAAAAAGTATAAACAATTCAAGATAATTTGTTTTTGTCATTGAATAACAGTGTATAATTGTCTCAGGCGCCAATACCAAAAATTATGAAGTTAATTAAAGCTAGGTTTGAGTTTTTTGTATCCTTGAATGTGACTTTAAACAGTTTTTTCCGTAGCTATAGAAAATTAAAAAAGGGAAGAATCATGTAGCAATTAGTAAATATAAGCGTCACTCAAAAACCAAATAAGCAAAAGAAATGAAAAAGAAAACGATGATTTGTAAAGTTTTCTACTTTGGGGTGGGCTTTCTTCGGTTCCATACACGATTGTGTTTTGTTTCAAGTAAAGTATTTTCATAATAATATATCCCTTTATTAAAAGTGAAATTTACGTGACATTAATCAATAATGAAATATGAGTCACTTTCTTATGGGTGATTGATAAACCTTTAGTTTATCTTGTTTAATGGACTAAAATAATATGAATTATCTAGTTGAACAAGTCAAAAATTAGGGTTTTAAAATGATAATCATGAACATTATCTGATTGTTAGAACTAATTAATATATTTGTTATTTTTAAAGGGATTTGATAACAAATGATTCAAATATGAAGATTTAGATAAAGAGAGATCAAATCAGAAAAGAAGATGAATCAAGGTGAAAACAATAAGATTGAAGATCTTATCAAGTTGTTAGAAGTGGGAGCTTAAGCCCCCATTCACAAGCTTAAGCGCCCAGACAAGTCCAACTTAGGCCCATTCAAGTTTTCTACTGCAATACGAACTCTTGACCTATTTAAACACCATTGGGGACCAGAAATACATAACTTTTAGATTGCTAAACAACTCTTGGGTGCTTGGAGGCTGAAGGAACGCGGAGAAACATCAGATTCATGTTCGTGAGCGGCGGAGACGGATCAACGTCAAGTGTTCACTGGAGATATTGAAGATCCACCAATCACTTATGGAGTTTGGGGGAGCTTTTCTATTTTCTTTTGTTCTTGATTTTGCCATGTCCGGCTAGTTCTTTAAGTAGTTAGGGTTAGATGGATTTTAGTCGATTTATTATGCTTTGAATAATTCGTACGTTAATTTTCCTTTTTATCATGAATGAAGTTATCTGTTTTTAATGCTTTATATAGGCTTGAATCTTATATAATGATCATCGGTAAATGCATGACAATAGGGATGTTGGTGTGTGATCCATATCTGATAACTTCATCGTAAACGCTATGATTCTAGGGATAGACATAGAATTTGCGTAACCTTAAGATTCTTGAACTTAATGCTTGCATTCTTGGGGAATAACTAGGGTTCTTTCAAGTTTGTAAAGGTTTTAGGGTAACAAGGGATTGAGCTCTAATAACACGCGAAAGAATTGGTTAGATTGATATTAAGGACGATTAACGTAAAGAAGGACTTCGAATCATAATAAGGAGATTAAAGGAAATCGAACCCCTAGCTACGTTTTTATTTTATTAGTTAAATCACATCTTTAATTTCTTGTCTTTAATTCTTGCAAGTAATTAGCTTAATATTTAATATTTTAATTTTGCAATTCAAATCCTGTTTCCAAATACACTTTCGATTGTCCAACTAAGTTTGCGATAGTGAATTAGTGCTTGAACCGTAATCCTCGTGGGAACGATCTCTTACTTAATCATATATTACTTGTACGATCGGTGCACTTGCCGTGAGTAGCAACAATGATGCAATGCAAATTAACCCTTTGAAACAGCCATAAGATTAAACTATCTCGTAATATTTAACTAAGGGCCAAAACCAAACATGAGCCTTCTTCTCATTTTCCCACATACTTTCAAGCCCAACGTGCATTCCCAAAGTTTGATCTCATCAATCTATCTCGCCACATACACACAGGTCAACAAACTCACACACAAACCAAAACCTCTATCAAATTCCATTTTTTCTTTCCCCATGTATTGACCCCTTTTTGTCATCAACCCACGACCCGTTTTTCTCTTCCAAGAAAAAAAAAAAAGAAGAAGCTTCGATCTTCTCCTATCGTTCCGCGGAATGGGCAATTACAAAATTTAAAACAATATTAGCGCATGAAAGCTGAGACCTTATATATATAATATCATTGAAAATTGAAGTTCTAGTCAAATGCATTTAAGATTTTTCATGTGCACGAATCCATACACGTTTTGGGAATTATGAGAAGCATTTCAGCCATTTAATTATGTTGGGAGAGTTTCGCCACAAATATTCTATAAATAGCCAAAAACAACTCAATTTCTTAATCACATCATAACCTGAAGTCTTTTTTAATAGTCCATATTTGTTAATATAATTTGGATCATGGATCGCAAAGGTAGTGACAGTGTTAGTGGTGGTGCTGGCAGGACTGGAGGTGGAACTGGAAACCATACCCCCAAAGACAACGTTGGTACTACGGGTTCTTCTGAAGTGATGAAAGCTCCTGGTGGAGCGGATGGGTCCTACATTTCAAGGGAAGAATTTGAGAAAAACCCTCAGGGATATTTTGCTGGTTTGCATGCTGCACAAAAGGACGACAACAACAACAACAAGAAGTAGTTACATTTTACGGAATATGGTTATGTAGATTTATTCCCCCAGTGCTAAGAAATAATCTTTATGTTTGTTGCCTATATATAGGCACTACTGTTTTATAATAAAGCACTTGCTTTTTCAAGTCCTTCTTCTATACCTGTCTCGTAAATTTTTGTGCTATTTTTTTATTGCATGCTTGGTTTTTGTTAAATTTTAAGTGTTTAATAATGTTTGGAGAGACTCAAAGCCCTAGTTAGGATTTTGGATACAAATTGGTTTTAAAAAAAATAAAGTATAAATACTGTTGTGTTTGCAATTTTTTTTTGAGAGAAAATGTAAGTTTAATTTTAAAATATTCAGTAAGACTTTGATTTAAACAAAATTCGACAAATAAATTTTTATTTTCTTTTAAATAATTTTAAAAAATATCATATTAAATAATTATAATTTAACATGAATACAAATATACTTAATAGTTAATACAAATACGATACAAATTTAAAAATAGTTCAATTTTCAATATGAATACGACCTGCTTATTTTGGAAATGGTCGTGACATGAATAACATCTCAAGTTGTCAAGGGTTAACACAAAATAATAAAACAAAAATAATTTAAGAAAATCATACTCTTATTGCTAGAAAAAAAAGTTATCTTATGCCACTGATGTCAACTATGCGGGTTGACACAAATAATAAAATAAAAATAATTTAGGAAAATCATACTCTTATTACTAGAAAAAAAGCTATTTTATACCACTGATTATAATTATGTACTTTGAGGAGTACATAGTTATAATATTAAAGCTATTTCTTTTTCTTTTTCTTCGGAAGTGGTCGGTGACATATATAGAGAGAAAACAATTTTAATTTTATAATTATGTATTTCTTGAAATACATAATTATAATGAGTGACATAAAATAACTTTTTTTTCTAACAATATAAAAAAAGGACCCAATAATTTATATATTATCAATACGAGATAATTTGTGTTATATTGTGACTCGCAACATAATACAAAAATTTTCATATTAATTTTTCTTAATACCAACATCACAACACAAATTTCTCATGTTATATTGTGTTATAGTAGTATTGAAAATTATCATCCGTAATGTGATACGTCACTGGTTGCATCATTTGTCACATGTATCCTTCTAAGAGTTCCCGATAAATCTAACATAATACAAATTTTTTCATATTAATTTTTTTCATTACCAACACCACAACACAAATTTTTCATGTGATATTGTACTAGGGGGACATTTGGTTGAAGATAAATTTTTTGACTACTAGAAAAATATAATTACTAGAAAAATGGTTGGAATGTGAGTTTGGTAGAAAAATATAAAAAAAGTTGTTTGGTTGACCAAAATATTACTAGGAAAATTTATTTAAATTTGCAAAATCTATGTTCGAGAGAAACTTCACATCTGTTTTTTCACTTTTTCAGTTATCTCAAAATACTAAATCTCAAGTGGTTCTGTAACAGTTAATTTCATTCAAAAATCAACACAAAAGTCATTTCTCCATCTATCCTATTTGTCTAGTTTTTTTTTCAAAAACCTGAACCAAACGTAGTATTTTTCAATATCCACTTACACTTTTCCATCAATTCCAAAATAAATTTTATACCAAACACTACCTAATAGTATTGAAAATTATCACCCATAATTTGATACGTCACTGGTTGCATCATTTGTCACATGTATCCTTATAAGAGTTCCCGATAAATCTAGCTACATGTTCCTTCATGTGATTTGTACCTTTACTAATTATTATTAAACACATGCTAATTTCTTCGTGTCATCAGAACATAAGCTGTTAAGACATAGGGATAATCATGGCAAGCATCTAACACCTCACCCAGCTCAACACTTGTTTTAAGAACCTTAACAAGCACTGACCTCAGTGCACTAACGACACACCTCCCATTTTCTCTCTCTCACTTAGAACCCCAACAGCCAACGATGCATCATCTAATTCTACTCTTGGTGGTCTTTAATCTGCTGCTAGTGTTCGCAGCAAGAATCGCATACTCAATCATTTGGGTCCCATGGATCATTGCACGTCACTTTCATAAACAAGGCATAAGGGGTCCCTCCTACCGTCCGATCAAAGGGAACGCGGAAGAGATTCGAAGTATGTTCGCGGAAGTTCAATCAAAGCCAATGGCTTTATGCCACGACACCCTTCAGCGCGTGTGTCCATTCTATCACAGGTGGTCTCCCATGTATGGGAAAACTGTTCTTTATTGGCACGGGTCGAAACCCAGGCTAGTCATATCCGACCCGGATATCATTAAGGAGGTCCTTTTGAAAACGGGTGAATGGTTCGAGAGGATGGACACAAATCCCTCGGTGAAACAGTTCTTTGGAAAAGGAATACTCACTTCAAAAGGTGAGTCATGGGCTACTCATAGAATGATCGCTAACCAGGCTTTTAAAGTGGAGCAAGTTAAGGTAATCTTTTCCTTACACTAAATATATTTTGAGTAAATCTCTTTTTTTGAGTCTACGAACAAAAAATACTATTCTTATTTCCCTTTGCAAAAAAATTATTAGTCCTGACTTGTTTAAGAAATTTAAAGTGGACTCATTTAGTTAAAATTATGGTCCTTCATAAATTCAAATAAAACTTACATTAATCCCTCAAAATAATTAAAATAAATTCACTTTAAATTTTATAAAGATCAGGCTACTATTTTTTTTTTGTAAGAGAGTAAACTGAGTATTGTAATTTTTGTTAGGTATCCAAAACTAATTTTAATCGTATTTTTATTCAACTCATGGAATAACTTCAACATAAGTAAAAAACAAAAAAGCTAATCTACTAAAAAAAACTAAAATATATTTTTATCTTAGTACATTAAGGAATGAGATATTATGTCTACTTTTTATCATGTGATCATATTTATTTTATCTACTTTTTTTTAATATTATTATATTACAATTTTAAGAGGAGAAAGAAATGATGAAAGTGAATTAAAATTATAATCTAATGATACTGAGAAGAAGTAAGTAGAAATGTGTTTTTAATTTAGTTCCAATGTAAAGTGTTTAATTAATATTTATATGAATAATTATTTTAATTTTATTTCAGTTGTATAGTTCATATGAAGTTACTCTTTAATACAGAGACTAAATTTAAAATAATTGTAGGGACCAAAATATAATATTTCTTTTTCCCAAACACTGAAGTATATAGGAGAAAGAGCCTTTAATAATTTAAGCAGGAAGTTTAAAATGCCTAGACCTTTATATGATAAAACTTCTCATAACCAATGAATCCTTTTCGAACATTGAGTTTCATGAATTTTTATGACATAATACCTACCATTTATAGTGTTGTGAATCTATGATATGGAATTCAATATAAATTAACTAACAATTTTCATGACTGAAATGTATTTGTGCCAGTCTTGGATTCCAGAAATTATAGACAGCACGAAATTGATGTTTTACAAGTGGGAAAACGAGAATAGAGGCGATGGTGAATTTGAGATTGAAGTAAATAGAGATGTCCATGATCTTTCAGCTGATATTATATCCAGAGTCGCTTTTGGAAGCAGCTATCAAGAAGGAAAAGAGATTTTCGAATTACAAGAACAACATTGCAAGCTAGTTTTCCTTGCCTCAAGAAGTGTTTATATTCCTGGGTTCAGGTAATCATATTAAAATTATTTAACATATAATATAAAACCATTGAAACTATTACTTACTAGTTTAAGCTTTTGGATTCGATTGACGTTTTACATGATATAAGTGTCTCTATCAAGTGATCACAAGTTCGATACTCATCGCCTCAATTTTATTAATAACTAATTAATATTATGAAATTTATTAGCATTGATAGAAAGGGCTTGTGTATTATTCATCCCTAAAGTCTGCTGGACTCTTATGTGAGGGGTCATGTTAGATATATAATATACTGGGGCAGAATATTCTTACATCGGTGTAAGAGTTAGAAGTCTTACACTCAATCTTGATCATTGATCCACTTGTATCCAATGGTTCACATTACTAAAAAATTTGAGCCCTTAGATATAAGTGGGATCAACGAACAAGATTAAAAGTATAACTTACACTGGTGTAAAATGATCCTGACCCATAATATAAAACCAATGAAATTTCATTATTTAATAACTTAAACTTTTTGATTGAATTAATTTTTTACATAATCCCCCGTAAATTGTTTGTTATTTTCTTTGTACAAACATTTTTTTTTATATATAAATGCATCCAAATACTCCTTACACAATTAAGCTATTAATGTGCATGCAGGTTTTTACCTACCAAGAAGAATAGAGAAAGAAAGAGACTAGAGAAGAAAACCCGTGAATTAATTCGAGTGTTGATTGAGGATAGCCATAAAGCACTAAAAAATTCAGATAATTTGCTTTCTTTGTTGATTTCTTCTCACAAATCTTTCAACAATGAGACACAAACATTAGGGTTGGACGAGATAATAGATGACTGTAAAAATTTCTATATGGCGGGAAAGGAAACAAATGCGAATTCAATAAGTTGGGCACTCTTCCTTTTAGGGCTGAATCAAGAATGGCAAAGCAAGGCACGTGAGGAGGTACTTCGTGTTTTAGGACCTCATACTCCCCCAACCGCAGAAACATTAAGTGACTTGAAATTTGTAAGTTTATTATGCCTTGCTAGTTTCTTAATTTTGTAATATATATTTTTAAAGAAAAAGGATCCGTTTACAAATTTTTGTAAATTACACTATATAATTCTGGAAGTACGTAGTGTAATTTAATGTACTTTCGAAATATATAGTATAATTTGTAAAAAATTTGTAAACAAAAAATTTATAAATATAATTCTCTCCATTTTTTAAAAACATTCTCAATCACTAAAAAGGTCGTGGCTTTGAATATGTGAAATAGTCTCTTTGTAAATATGAAAAGATAAAGTTATATATAAAAATTGCTCTCACCCTTATCCTCGTGAGTCGAAATTTAATAGGAAGGAAGAAACGACCGAGTCAAAAAGTTTTTTTTTGAAGAGGAGGTCAAATTATAGTGTGAATTTTTTCTTTCAAGTGATAATTATTTATATGAGAAAAAAAAATTGATACTTACAACTAAAGATTTTTGTAGATTTTGAAGGGGGCGAGCATTAGATATATGATCAAAAAATTAGAACTAAACCTCACTTCTATAGGTTTATATAAATTTGATGGAGCGAACACCCCCGCTAGCCCTTCTTTCCCTCCACCACTGGAAGGATGATTCTCATTCACTAAAAAAATAGTAATCTTCTCTCATTTCTCTCAACAGGCGAGTTTGATAATTCAAGAAACACTTAGACTCTACGCTATGCCAGGTTCAATAGTGAGGCAAGCAAGTAAAAGAGTTAAGCTTGGGAACATTGATGTTCCTGCTGGTACACAATTATATTTGTCTATCACTGCACTTCATCATGATACTGAGTTATGGGGAGAAGATGCTCTTGAATTCAATCCTATGAGATTTACTGAGCCGAGAAAGCATTCAGCTTCGTATTTTCCCTTTGGATTGGGCCCCTACAATTGTGTGGGTCAAAATTTAGCTTTGATTGAAATGAAGATTGTTCTAGCCATGATCTTACAAAGATATTCTTTTGCTCTTTCGCCAACATATGCTCATGGACCGATCTTGTTGATGGGTGTGTCTCCTCAATATGGCATGCAAATTGTCTTTAGGAGATTGTGAAAATGATTATCAGTGTTTGGAATGACAATGTCATTGGCTTATTCTCAAATCTAAGGTGAATCATGTAACACTCCGGGTATTAATTTTAGTATGAACTATTATTTGATATTTGGGCATGGAAAGTAAGACAATTACGTATTTCGGTAGAATTTTTCTAAGTTTTGGGCTTTTTATTGATTGGTGTGTATTTTATTTTTTGAAATATGTTAAATGGATAACTTGATGTTTTTCATTGAGTTCTAATGATTATGTGATTTATTAAAGGGAATTATTAGTCTTCTGTTGCATGAAATGGAGTATCTTATGCGATACACTCATTATAAGTGGGCTCCATCAAATTTTAAGAAAGAGAAAAAAAGAAAAAAGAATAACGAAGGGTGAGTTGGAGAGAGTCCCTATCTTGTGTGGCATAAGACTAAGTTAACCCTTTATTAAATGTTTGTTCAGATCGAGCCTAATTAATAAGTGTGTTAGTTATGGCATATGCACGATGAGTAAAAACTGAGATTACTGCTTCCTATATTATGTGTCGATGATTCACACTTCGCTTTAAAGCTTTTGAGTGGGCACTCTTTTTTTTTTATATAATATAATAGTGAAAATTCACATATAACTTAATATAAATTATTCGAATTTCTCGTCATTAGACCAATTCCAACAGCTTTGAGTGGGCACTCTTTTTGTTAAAGTCTTAATTACATAAAAGGAGTTTCACCTTACACATTTCATATTGATATTGACTTGAAAAAGGGTATTCTAATATATTATAGAATTGTAAATAATCTGTACAAAGGGTTCTCTATTTATAGAGAATATTTGACCTACTTTTAACCTAATGGGCTTGGCCCAATACAACAAAGAGCTTGGCCCAATACAACAATAAATGACTAAATAATAACTAAATCAATATTATTTACAACACTCCCCCTCAAGCTGAGGAATAAATATTTATCATTCCCAGCTTGCTAGTAAGTTCTTGAAATCTGTCTGAAGGAAGCCCCTTTGTTAATAGATCAGCCAATTGACGCCCAGTGGGAATGTATGGAGTGGTAAACAACCCGCTATCAAGTTTCTCTTTGATGAAATGGCGGTCAACCTCAATATGTTTAGTCCGATCATGTTGAACTGGATTATGAGCTATACAAATAGCGGACTTATTATCACACAGCAGCTTCATAGGTCCCTCACATTTTATTTTGAGATCATCAAGAACAATTTTCAGCCACAGTAACTCACAAATGCCTTGAGCCATAGCTCGAAATTCAGCTTCTGCACTTGATCTGGCAACCACATCTTGTTTCTTACTTCTCCATGTCACCAAGTTACCGCAAAGAAACATGCAATAACCAGTGGTAGAACGACGGTCAGTCACGGATCCAGCATAATCAGCATCTGTGTAGACTTCTAAAGATAGATTGCCATCACGTCGGAATAACAATCCTTTACCAGGAGTACCTTTAATATACTGAAGAATTCTCTCTACTGCCTGCATGTGTTTTTCTTTTGGATCGTGCATAAACTGACTGACAACACTAACAGCATAAGCTAGGTCTGGTCTAGTATGGGCCAGATATATCAATTTCCCAACTAGCCGTTGATATTGTCCTTTATCAACTGGAGGACTCTCTTCTTCATAGCCCATCTTGTGATTCTGCTCAATAGGAGTATTAGAGGGTTTACACCCGAGCTTTCCTGCTTCTTTGAGAAGATCAAGAACATATTTCCTCTGGCTGATAAAAATTCCTTTGCTTGAATGAGCTACTTCTATCCCTAGGAAATATCTCAGTTTCCCAAGGTCTTTGATTTCAAACTCAGAGGCAAGCCGTGTTTGCAGAATCTGTCTCTCCACAAAATCATCACCTGTGATGATAATATCATCAACATATACAAGGAGCACAGTAAGCTTCCCATTTTGGGAGTGCTTGAAGAAAAGAGTGTGATCTCCTTGGCTCTGTCTGTATCCTAAGGTCATCATAACCTTAGTAAATCTTCCAAACCAAGCACGAGGTGACTGCTTCAATCCATACAAGGCCTTTTTTAATCTACAAACTTTATTTTCCCCCTTCACAGAATCAAAACCAGGCGGGATTTCCATGTAGACTTCTTCTTCTAACTCACCATTGAGGAAAGCATTTTTCACATCAAATTGATTTATATCCCAATTGTAATGGGCAGCAAGGGATAACAAGATTCTCACTGTATTCATCTTTGCAACTGGAGCAAAGGTTTCTTCATAATCAATGCCATAGGTTTGAGTGTAACCTTTGGCCACTAATCGAGCCTTATATCTCTCAAGAGTGCCATCAGAATTATATTTCAGGGTATAAACCCATCTGCACCCTACTGCTTTCTTTCCGTTGGGTCTATCAATAACCTCCCATGTTTTATTTTTCTCCAAAGCATTCATCTCCTCTTGCATGGCTTGAGCCCAATTCCTATCTTTCAAGGCTTCATGTACTGATTTTGGGATTGCAATAGAATCTAGTGCTGAAACAAAGCTTTTGTGCTGCACAGAAAGATTAGCAGAGGAAACAAAGTGGGAGATAGGGTATTGAGTACAAGAGGGACATGAGGAACAAGTTTTCTTGTGACAAGATCTTTTTCCTTTTCTAAGAGCAATAGGTAAGTCATCAGAAGTAGAAGCAATGGGTAAGTCATTAGAGATATCAGAAGAAATAGACAAATCATGAGAGGAAATAATATTAGAATCAGAAACAGGAGATTCAGAAGAAATAGGAGATTCAGGACTTACCAGTGGTTCAGACGATTGAGGTTGCTGGTGAGACAGTATGGGTTGTATCTCAGGTGTATTTGAAGGTTCTGACACACCAGGAGCAGACACACTAGGAAGAGAGAAGATTGATCCAGACTCAAAGAAGGAAGGGGACGAGTCTTCTGAAGAACTATTCTCCCCCTGACGATGAGGACCCAGGAAATAAGATTCAGATTCTTGAAAGGTGACATCCATAGAAACAAAAAATTTCCGACTTGGTGGATGATAACACTTGTACCCTTTTTTATAAGGGTTATAACCAAGGAAGATACACTTAAGAGCCCTAGGATCCAACTTACTTCGATGTTGTTTATGAACATGGACAAAGGCAACACATCCAAACACTCTTGGTGGAAGGCTCTGCAATATGGGAACAGAAGGAAAGAAGGAAGTCATGGAATGAATAGGACTGATATTGTTAAGGACCCGTGAAGGTAAACGGTTGATCAAAAAAGTTGCAGCTAATACTGCTTCTCCCCAATAAGAACTAGGAACAGATGTCTGAAAAAGTAGTGCTCTAGCAACTTCAAGAAGGTGACGATTTTTCCTTTCAGCAACCCCGTTTTGTTGAGGGGTATCAACACATGTGAGCTCATGAATCATACCTCTGTCTGAAATGAATTGTGACAGGCGTTGATTGACGTACTCAGTACCATTATCAGATCTGAGTCTTTTAATACCCTTACCAAACTGAGTCTCAACCATGTGATGAAACCGAATAAATATCTCTGGTACTTCAGACTTGTCTTTCATCAAGTATATCCATGTTATCCGAGTACAATCGTCAATAAAAGAAACAAACCACCTAGCACCTGAAACACTGTGCACTTTAGAAGGGCCCCAAACATCAGAATGGATAAGAGAAAAAGGTTCTCTGCTTTTAATAGTGCTAGAAGGAAATGACACTCGATGGTGTTTTGCAAATTCACAAACATCACAATGAAAGGTCTCAACCGACTTATTGAGAAACAGAGAGGGGAACATAGACTTCAAAAGACTAAATGGTGGATGCCCGAGACGCTTGTGATGGAGCCAAATCATAGACTCTGCAGTAGAAGGATGACATGTCATTAATAACTGATTTTTGCTAGCATGGTCTGGAAGGAGATGATACAACCCATCCTGTTCATTAGCAACTCCAATTGTCTTCTTCGTGGTAAGATCCTGAATAAGACAATGAGAAGGAAAAAATGTGATAGAACAATTCAAATCAGTTGTAAGTTTTTGAGTGGAGATAAGATTAGTAGAAAGCTGAGGAACATAAAGAACATTTTTAAGAAACAAGGAAGGTTGAATTTGAATGTTACCAGAACCAATAACTGATTTATGGGATCCATCAGCTACGGATATAGTATGACTACCAACAGTAGGATGATAAGAACAAAATAACTCAGTACGACAAGCCATATGATCAGTTGCACCAGAATCCAAAATCCATGAGGTTTTAAAATCAGTGCAAGAAGCAAGAAGAGATATAGAACGTGTGCTCTTACCAGATAAGATCGAAGAACTATCATGCTCAGCCATTCTTTAACAAAAAAAGTTAACAACCAGCGATAAAATCAACCAAACAGAATATCAAATGACCTCTGATCAGAAAAATAATTACAGATCCAGACAGAAGACAAGAAGACGAGAAGAATGGTGGTGGTCCGGTCCAAAAACACGGCCGCACGCGCCGGAGAAAGAAGCTGCGCGTGGGATTCACTCGCCGGGAAAGGGGCGGCGCGTGAGAGCGCGTGGATGGGCTTCGCCGGCTGAGATTTTTCTGGTGTGGTCGTCCGGTGAGCGCACACCTGTCTGTGGGTGGTCGCGGTTGAAAAGTCGCCGGAAAGTGGTCCAAACGGTGAAGACAGATCTGATTGGAGGCGATCGGAGGTGTTTCGGTCGTTTGTGGCGGAGGAACACTGCGTAGAATGATAGATCGGAGGAAAAATAAGGTCAACAATGGTCCCCTTGGTCCAAAAGGTCCCCGGAAAAATTTTCCGGTGGCGGCTAATGACGGCAAGAGGCAAAGAAATTAGGGTTTTGTTAAAAAAGAAGATAATATGTGCGGAAGCAAAGCCCTCAGATCGAGAGCTCTGATACCAACTTGAAAAAGGGTATTCTAATATATTATAGAATTGTAAATAATCTGTACAAAGGGTTCTCTATTTATAGAGAATATTTGACCTACTTTTAACCTAATGGGCTTGGCCCAATACAACAAAGAGATTGGCCCAATACAACAATAAATGACTAAATAATAACTAAATCAATATTATTTACAACATATTGTAAACAACTATTTTAACCCAAAATTTTAAAGCATTAGATGAGACTACATTGATAATTTTATATCTCTAATACATCAATACACAATAGCCCTTTGAACTTGAAGTATAAATATTACACAGGTCCATTTTTTAGTTTACCTTGTGCTTATTTAATTTCACTACAAAGTGAATGGCAATGAGAATCGAATTCGTGATCACTTGGTCACTCCAACACTGACACCAAATATAGAATAATTTCAACCTAAAATCTTAAGGTATTGGATAAAATTATATTAATGATTTTACATCTCTCTAACAAATATGCATTTCAATTTTACCAATTCTTATGTAATTCTGGAATTTCTTACTATTTTAACAACAGTTAAGCGTCTAAATCAATAATTTGGTGTTGCTAAAAGAATAGAAAAACTATTATCATTCATTGGGTAGAAGGGAGTGATAAATGATAAATACATTGAGATAACGTTGTGTTTTTCATGAGGCTTTTATATAGACAATTTAAGATATATCAATAACTAGTTTATCAAATAAGATAAGGATACAAAATAAAATCATTTATCATTATCACTAATACGATACTTTATGACTATATGATGCATGGGATGTGATTTTAACATTCCTTCAAAATGGATCTCTCATGTTAAAATTTCATATGAGAGAGTCACGTGAATTTTTTTTATTAATAATAGTTGAACATCATCTATTTAATGCATGTGAAGAAAGAGATAAATATAAAAATCATTCCTTTTTTCCTTAGTTATCCCTAATAATCCTAAACTGGAGTGTGAAAAACTGAAGGCAATAAATATCTAACTTTCTAACCAGAAAAACAATTAATGTGTAACTTGCTAACCAGAAAAATCATTTGTTTCTTATCCAATCCTCTAAAAAGACAAAGCTGGCGGTAAAACCAATTTTGAAGAAATGGTTTATATAAGCAATATAAAAATTGTTTACAACTAACTTGTGAAATAAGATAAAAATATAAAACATAATAATTAACAAAATGATTAATCTTAGTTATCATGTAATTTCCACATTAATATCTTTATCCGAGAAGGAAAAGGTGTCAATAAAGTGAAAAACTCACATGAAAGATATGTTTTTGTTTTTGCAAGATTGATAGTGGGGCAAAGTGAATGAATCATGGTTGTTGGTTTCCATGGTGTGTGGAAATTTGATGGGGTGAATAGTTGCGCTTTTACTGGGCATTAGTTTTCCATTGAAAATTTCTTTGATGGTGTGAATTTTAGATATTATTAGGAAATATTTAAATTTAATTTTAAAAACTTTAAAAATAAGCAATTAACTTAGTATTATTTTGAAAAAAATATGTTTCATATATTAAATAAGGATTCGCTTTTACTGCAGTAAGCCCAATACGATGTCGTTTTGGGACGAAAATCATGGTATTTTTGTAATTTTAATTTATTTCAGGGTTATTATAGTTTTTATAATTATAATTTTTTAATATTTCAATCCCAAAACGACATCGTTTTGAAAATAAGTACAGATAATTTATCTGCATTAACTGCAAAAATATTTTTCTGATTAAATAAAAGGTTATATATGTATCATGTTAGGGAAAAATGTTTCTGCAGTTAATGCAGATAAGTTATCTGCATTTATTCTCAAAACGACGTCGTTTTGGTATTAAAATCTCAAAAAATTATAAATATAAAGACTATTATAACCCTGAAATAAATTAAATTACAAAAATACCATAATTTCTGTCCCAAAACGACGTCGTATTGGACTTATTGCAGATAACTTATCTGCAGTAACAGCAGATAAAACAAATCCATCATGTTGTATGGAAAAAAGAAACTTTCATGCAAACACATATAAAACATGGAGAATGCATTTTTTTTCTCCTCATTTTACTTTCTCTTTCTTTTTATCTGTGTTTGATAGAAAAAAATATTTGTTGTAACATGATACATATATAACTCTTAAATAAAATAAAATTGAGTTTGATATTTTTCCTATTATACTCATACATAGTGAGTACTGAGTAGGGGTGTAAATGGCCAGGCTGGCCCGGCCCAGGCCCGATCTTTCAGAATAATAGAGTTGGTTTAGGCTTATAAAAAAGCTTTCTTAACAAATAGGTCATAGGCCAATTTTGTCAAGCCCGGCCTACAGCCTTGTAGGCTGGCCTATTTAATTTATTAAAATAAAATAATATTTATTTTATGTGGCAAAGACGCAAAGTACCAAATACCAATATCTCTTACTTTTTGTGCTATTTTATTTTATGAAAGGAAAACTTGTCTAATGTCTCCAAATTTTACATGCTGTTGCAGCTTAATACCATGGAGTAATGGGTACCTTGCTAGATTATGATGTTACTGATGAAGATCTTTCAATAATACTCTTCTTTCCCTTGTCTTGATGGTGGTTTAAAGATTTTTAGATAAATGACATTCTCTTGCAGACTTTATTTCAGTATCCGATAATTGTATTTTTCTTATTTTCTTCATTTCTTTGACTCTATTCCTCTATGATATATATTCTAGAGCTGAGGTATTATGTTGACTCTTTCTTGTTTGTCATTTTTTTCTTATAAGAAGTAGTAGTGCATGCATGAACGAAACTTTCTTTGTTCTATACAATTATTTTTTTTTGCTTAATATCTACCTTGGGAGGTCTACAAGGCCTGTAGGCCATGTCAGACTTTCTTATTTTTAAAAATGGGCTGGGCTTGGCCTACAAATAAAGCCTTTAATAAGCCAGTAGGTTAGATAGACTGAATTTTTTTTGACATAGGCTTGGACCAGAAAGGCCAAAGCCCAGCCCAACCCAACCCATTTACATCCCTGGCACCGAGTACATTGAATTTCATATAATAATATAAAGATTCAAGCAGACATAGAAATTTCTAAGATTATCTAGAAATTTGACAATTTTCTATACGCACATGTTCTTTTTTTCTCATCGATGGTCACGTTGTGGCTGTGGCATGTTCCTCTGAAGCGGGAAAGTTAACCGAGTAGAAGCGAAAATAGGTTAGAGCCTCGTGTCCCTCGCTCTCTTTCTGTCTCTCTCACCTAACCCCTTCAAGATTCATTTTCGGCTCTTACCTTCATTCCTATTTTCTTCAATATTTAAGCAGCAACACCTTCCGCTTACGTTTCAAGCTTTTAGGGTTAGGGTTTTCCTCCGATTTTCCCCAACTGTAAGATTCTCTTTCTTCCCTTTTATTTATTTTTTTCAAAATTTCTTTTCCTTGACCTCAATTTTATTTAATTATAAGCACGATTTTATTAAGTGAATATTTTTTTTTGGCGCTTGTTGACCTTTATTGTGGAATAACTCAGGTCTCTGAATAATTGAAATATATCGAAGGGGTTTGTGCACTGTGTTGTAAGTGAATTAAGCATTGATGTATTGGGAGTTATGAAATTGCCTTTAGCATGTAGTGGTGGTAACGATCTGGTTGTTATTGATGAACCTGAATTCTTGTGTTGGAAAAATGCCATCTAATTACTTTTCAAGGCTCGGAACTCTGATTCAGAGATCAATTGTGGGGAAAGAAGGAAGAATCCAGGGCTCTGAAGTTCTGATTGGACAAGGGAAGTTGTGGTTTGGTGGTTCTCTGCAATTTTTTCACTCTTTAAATAGCTCATCGTGTGTGCACCTGCGCCGCAGCATTGTTTTAGCTTCTAGCTTTGAATTAGATGGTAAAAGAAGAACTTTGTCTGTAGTTGATACGCTATCTCGAACATTTTCCATTCCCTCTGTATCAGGGCCTTCGTTTCAGGTCTGTGGATACCACATTGATTGTGCTCTTTCGGGACCTGATCGGTTTCCAACTGGTGCGAAATTTCAGGCTAAAACAATGGCTTCTCACTTATCCAGAGTTGTGGTTGGTGAATGCTATTTAGATAACTCAGCTTTGAAGCGTAGTCACCGTTCGCTGTCAACAATGAATAGCAGTAATATCTGCTTGAGCACGAGTTTGGGGAATGGTAGAAAAGTGAGCATGAGTTTGGAAAACCATCGGCAGCCAGATAATAGTGCAATTTTTGGCTATTTCATTTATAATGTTGCAAAGGCTTGGCATAGCTCTTACCATTATGCACAGTCAGGGTCTGGAGGTTTCCATAGTTCGTCAACATCATGTAACTCTGTTGGGCCTGCTCATGATGTGCCTTTTGACACTTCTTCCCGTGAGGAGCAGCTAAAAAATTCTTCAAATTCATCTGAACAGTATGTTGTCTCCCTTCAATATTCACCGTTACAAACATAACATGGATGCAAAGCAATATCAATTCTCTGCAGTTAAATCAATATTTATATGTTGTGGTGGTGCTTGCTGTTCGCTGTGTGTCTTGTTGGTTATAATGATAATCGTGTCACTTATAGTTCACTGTTTGTGGTTTAGGCTATAATAAACATCCAATTATAATCTAAAGGGCATTTTAAAAGGATTGAAGAACAAAGCTATTTTGAACATGGGGATTTGACTAATGCTATTTTGAGTAAAAAAGATATAGTTGAATCCCATCTTTACATAGAAAGGCTCACTTAGCTCTTTTGTGAAAAGTTGAGATTTATTGAACATTTGCATTTGACTAGTGCAATTTTGGGAATATAAACGGGAGGGTTCGCATATTAAAATGTGGGGAAATGCAGAAAACCCTTTCAAAATGGAACAACTATATTTTATTTTTTTGGTTTCTTTGTATTAATGTTTTTGTAAAGAAAATAATGATCTTGTTGGTGGTTCTTTCTAAGTTGAGAGTAGTTGGAGGATGAATTCATTAGGGGGAAAAAAATGGTTATTGAAACCCTTTTTCAAAGTTGAAGGTTTAATTGCCGAAATCGAAAGACGAGGAGTCTATGTGCCAAAGAGTCAAAAGAGCCAAAGTTAAATGGGGTTCTATGTTTCCCCCAAAATAAGAAAGCTTGATGACTTTGATAACTTATTAGCCTTGACATTTTAAACAAGTGTTTTCATATTGATGACATGAAAGTTTGGAGTTATTAGTTAATATAATAATGTCTGAACAGTAAAAAATCATTGTGTTAATTTTTTTTGCCTTTTTCTTTAAAAAATATTTCCCTAGCAAAAAAAGAATTTGACTGATTCTTACTTGAAAAGGTTTGATTTACTGATCTAAATGGTTTGGATAGTTAGTTGGTTACTGTTGCATAAATTCCCATGTTGTTGTCTTTGTTATATCTACTGAGTACTATGAAATTTTCTTAGAAATAGGTTTAAGGTTAATTAGTCAGATCTTGATTTGCATCTACCTATCATGATATACTGTTCTACAGGGAAAAAAACTCAGAATCTACTGTTATATTGTTTTTTGGATCAATAGACGACATGTATAGGCTATATAACCAAAAACATGTGGAGGCTATATGTACTGGTTGAAAATATATTCTGAATTTACAATCTTAATGGCTGATATGACATGGTTGGAGATGATGACTGCAGGAAAACTCCTTCAGGCAAAATCCTCAAGTTAGTATCAGGATCATGCTACTTGCCCCATCCTGAAAAAGAAGAAACTGGTGGAGAAGATGCTCATTTTATATGTTCTGAGGAACAAGCAATAGGGGTGGCAGATGGTGTTGGTGGCTGGGCAGATCTTGGTGTTAATTCTGGATATTACTCTCGTGAGCTCATGTCCAATTCAGTGGATGCTATTCAGGAGGAGCCCAAAGGTTCAATTGACCCAGCTAGGGTGTTGGAAAAAGCACACTCAAGTACAAAAGCTAAGGGTTCCTCTACAGCATGCATCATTGCACTTACTGATCAGGTTACCTTCATCTTTATGTTGTCCCCTTTGGAATACGCAAGAGCTTCAGTTCTGTCACTCTTACTTATAGTGCTTTAAGCATCTCAGAATACTGATAGACTAGTAACGAGTTTACCTTCCATAGTTATTGTATCTATTGTCTTCATATTTTCAGTATCATTTTTTTAAATAATTTGATGGTCTTATGATGATTGATTTCAGCCTTTGCAACTTATTTTCCTGATTTGGGCATTCGTTTGTGGTAAATTTATTAGTGACTGAATGATATAAGTCCTTGAAAACTATTCAGTGATATATAGGCCTTCCAAAATAATTTTCACTGTTTCTAGGAATATAATTCTGTAGAAAGTCAAGGACAATATAATTTATGAAGGCAGTAATCTTAGAACTTTGTAGATCTTGCACCCTTGTGAATTTTAACTGACTGGATTGAGTGGTGATGTAATAAAAAAACAGTTTATAGAACAAAATGCATTATTAAATCATTGGGGTAAAAAAGTGGTCCACGATGTCTTGAGAGTAGTAGTTAAAATCACCCTTATAAAGCTTTTTGATGCCTTAAGTTTAAAAGTAATGTTCTTTTATTTTTTGAAATATTAGTCTGTGGGCCTTGGACTCATCAGGGTAAAAGATTATGTAATATGAAGATCAATTTAACAAAGATGGTGGTGACTGTTGATACGGTTGGTATCTCGCAAGCTGGGCAGCCTTCCACCTTGGAGGTCAAGGTAGATACCTTTGTCGAACCTGTACTAGTACCATCACCCTCGCTCGATGTTTTTTCGTCGTCCTTCTTGAGAGCCATCTCCTTAAGGATGGCTTTGATATCCTCCAGACCCCTCACCGTTTCGCTGGACTCCCAAAATTTACAAATGCTGCCCAGCTTGCGAGATACCAACCTTATCAACTGTTGAGTACTTTTGAACTCCCAAAAAAACTAGTAGTTTCTGAACTTCACCCTGGAACTTAACCTTTCTTTTTTTTTCCTATACTTAGTATGTCATTTGTTACTTAAGAGCATAATGACTTATCTAGATTACAAATATTCTGCATTTGTAAATTATCAGTTTTGATATGTTATTTCATAATCCTGAAAGAGATCTCTATTTTGTGGCCTTCTTTTTGTCAACATATATTCATTTTTGGTGTTCCTTTCTTAGGGGCTTAATGCTATTAATTTGGGAGACAGTGGGTTTATGGTGGTCCGTGATGGGTGTACCATATTCCGGTCCCCAGTGCAGCAACATGATTTCAATTTCACCTATCAGCTGGAATGTGGTACTAACGGTGATTTACCTAGTTCTGGTCAGGTATTTTCTTATTGTGGACTTCATATTTAGGAGAATTTGACTACATTGGTTATTAAATTATCTTTTCATTCACTAATGATAATTTGCTATGCTTAAAAATGTTTGCTACTGGATCTGCTGCTTGTTTATCACTTCTAATGTTGTTCTTGTATATATCCTTACCCTGAATACAGTAAATGCATACAAAATTTATATTCACTTTCTAACCCATAAAAACACCATCTTCTTCTTTGTATATCCACTGTAGGATTTGGACGTAGTCTCAGAAGAGTTATTGAAAAATATATTTTTTATTTGGTTTATTTAAGTTTTTAAACCCTGATTTTCAGGATGCGTTCAATTTAGTCCTTTGTTTTTAAATTTTCTGAATGTAGTCCCTTAATGTACCGTTTACATCAATTAATTTTTACAAATTAGACTGTTCAGTACTATGCATGTGATATCCACTTACATGATTTAGCTCCAATCAGCTACAAGCGAGATCTGTAATTGCCAAGTCAGGCTGAACATATAACCCAACGTTAGCAATGAAAATATAGTAGTCTAATTTAGATGACAACTAACTGCGGAGACTGCATGTCTGCATTGATACAGATTGTAAGTTTAGGGACGTAATTTAAAAAAAAAAAAAAAAGATGAGGTTAGAAGGACTAGAATGGACGCAGGCATAGCCTATTAGAGTAGTAGTAAAAAAAAAAAAGGAACACGGCTTGAATGCATCAGACCAAGTTAATTAAGGTATTTTATTAAGAGTTGTGCTGAACAGCTGGACACTTTTTAGCAGAATCAGCTAGATTTGTGGTGAACCACTAGCATGCCAACTCGTTGTGTAAAAAATTCTGGAGATCTAACATTTTCGTTTATTTAATTGTTATTGAGTCAAGATTTTATGTGCCTGTTATGATCCATTACGATTTGGCAGCTGATCTAATTGTTAGCAGACAGGTTTTTATTTGAGATCTTGGTTCTGCTTTGTTCTGAGGAGGTTGCTTGTTTGCTATAAAACACATTCACACACGTGGTAAAATTTGCTATTAAAACATTTATTTCTTCTGATTACTACTAGATTCTGCCTAAAATCTTCTTGATGCCCTGCGGTAATTTTTTGCTAATGGTCTCTATATCAAGTACTTTACCATGGCAATTGGTCAAGTTTGGTTATTAATTATTCTTTATGGCGAAAAGTTTGGACAAAAATTCACGAGTTTGTTGGACTTCTGGCTTTTTGCATCTGATCTGGTTCATTGCTACTGGTAGGATGCTTAGATGGGTTGCCTTGTTTATATCAGGTTTTTACAATTCCAATTGCTCCCGGAGATGTCATAGTTGCTGGTACTGATGGGCTGTTTGATAACTTATACAATAATGAGATTACAGCGGTGGTGGTTCATGCCATGAGAGCCGGCTTAAGCCCTCAGGTGACAGCTCAGAAGATAGCTGCGTTGGCACGACAACGGGCACTCGATAAAGACAGACAGACCCCTTTCTCAACTGCTGCTCAGGATGCTGGATTCCGTTACTATGGTGGCAAGCTTGATGATACTACTGTTGTTGTTTCATATATTACCAAATCTGAAGATGCTTAAATTCATTTTCTGTGCCTCCTGTATATATTCATTTTGTCCTGGTGATGACGACATGTTGTGATTGTAACTCAAAAAGTTTATTAATCACATTCTATTGAGTCAGCTTCGTTGAATTAAAAAATTTCATCGTCCATTTTATCTTTGGTTTGTTTCTCTAAGCGGAATAGTTGTTAAAATCTTTTGAGTAATATGTCCCCTTAAATTTAAGGTAATTCATACTCTTACGTTTCATAAGATGGATTTCGATTTCTTATGTCACTCTACCTTTGAAAAATGTGCTTTTCTTTTTTCTTTTTCTTTTTAAAAGTTGATGGGATTCACTTTATTTGTCTCTTAACATGAGAAAATTTCTCTCATACTACATAAGAGAAGTAATCTTCTAGATTAATTTTTGCTATGAATGCTATAATCATTTCAAATAATCTACAGGGAAAACTTCAAAAATCTTGGTGTAACTTTATTCATCATCATTTACTCCCTTTTTTTTATCATTTATCCCCTAAATGGGGGGTAAGTGATAAAGAAACTTTAAGTCAGGGGAGTAAGTGATAAAAAAAATCTAAATAAGATTGTAAATGATTTAAAAAATTTGTGAGAAAAGTAAGTGATAATTTAAAAAGTTTATCGGGAAATTTTTGAAGTTTTCCCAATAATCTATTATTATTTCATACATTCCTATAACATATTAGAGTGCTTTTTTTTTCTTTCTCCTTTGGTTGATTTTGATGACTGAGGTGCGCGCATGATAAACATTGACCCTGTTTTATGAATGACAAATATTTTTTTCTATTTCTATATCCGGAAAAGAACAAATTAAAAAAGTCGTGTTTTTTTTTCAATTTTTATTCGTAACTATTGATTATTTTTTTGAAATAGAAAAATAAATTAATTTTATCAAATATAATTTGAAATTATTTTTATTTTTCAGATTAAAAAAAAAACCAAGTGGTTGATAGTTTTATCTAGGGGTGTTCATCAACCGATACAAACCGATTCAAACCACGGTAACCGAACCGAAAAATCGAATAAATCGAAAACCGAAAAACTGAAAACCGAAAAAAAACCGTAAATTTTAATTGGATTGGATCGGTTTTTGGATGAGTTGATGAAAACCGATCCAATATATTAATTCCCCTCTACCTATTTGGGTTTTTCCCTAATCATAGCCCAAAAATTTCTAAACCCAAGACTCGTTAATCCATCAACTAAACCCAAGAAAAAATCTAGTCACATCTCATCAATAAAATTTTATCTTTGTAAACCTTCATATCTCTTTGCCCAAAAAAAAAATTATATTATAGTTTACTAATGCTTTTGTATTTCAAAAAAATATAAAATTACAAAGCCAATATATACAAAGATGTAATTTACACAATAATCAAAAAATAAATTTTAGAATTTTCAAAAAATAGAAAACCGATCCAATCCAAACCGAAAAAAATTGGATTGGATTGGATCGGATTTGAAAAAAAATCCAAACCGAATGAATGATTATATGATCAATCCGAAAGGATTGGATTGAATGATTTTTGCTTCCAAAACCGATCCAATCCAGACCGCGAACACCCCTAGTTTTATCTTCATTTCAATTATTTTGAAAATAACTTGTATTGCTTAACAAAAACTTTTACTCAATTCAATTTTAGCTGTACATAAATGATATTGGATGCTTTTAGAAAATGATGGGATCGTTACCTTTGGAAACTTCAACCTTCTTCATACATCGGATTTTAGCAATACTTGGACATTGATGCAATATTATCTTTAGAGAGATTCTTATAATAAACAGGGATAATCATTTGATATATTATAAAAATAACAGTTACAAGTAGTTGAATAATTTTTACCCTATTAAAATGTTAGTATATGATGTAATTATTACATGTTTTTCTTTTAAAAACAATGTGGCCCAAACAATTAACAAGTTGGCAAAACCAAGTTTTTATGTCAAACATAAGGGGGGAATTATCTCTAATGAACAAAGTACATACTATATGTTCCGGATGACCCAATTACTAAGCGGCCCAATGGCTCAAGCCCAACTCCAGGCTCCAACCCACATCAGCCCTAAGGGCTGACGTGGATCCTCTCATCCCTCAATACTACGACGCGTCCAAGGGGAAGCACCAAAATGTTCCATCTTGGGACCTTAACCCCCAAAGGCGACTGTCACAGGCACCTTAAAGGGTAACTTTCCTTTTTCCCGATGCTGACATCGCCAGGCACAGAAGGCGCAGCGCTGCTACAACAGCAGCGCCTGCCACGCCAAACACTGCCACCATGGGAGTGAATCCCAAGGAGGGTTGACCCCCTCCTCACCAACCCACATTGTTTTCCCTATAAATAGCCCCCTTGGGCACACCATGAAGGTATCTTATGTATCGTTATTCTGCCCATTTATTTTGAGTCATATTATCGCTTACTTATCCATTGTTGATTGCTTGCTTATACTGGGCAAAGTACCTCTTAGCTTGGTCTGTACCTGTGCTAAGGGTATTATCCATACAGTGACTCATCCCTGAAGGGAACATAGTGGGCTTATAGATCCCTACTGTACATTGGCGCCGTCTGTGGGGAACTATAAACTTCTATTCCCATTCTCCTACGAAAGATCCACAAGACGCACTTCAGACCCAGATAACTAAACATGGTTGTCACGACCAGAAGAGCGGAACAAGCTAGGGCCGTTACCCCTGACGGTCACGTGCAAACAGTACATTCCAACTCCCTGCCATCCATGTATTCAGCCCCAGCTAGGCGAGCCGCTGGCGAGGCTCTCCCCCCGGTACTACAATCTGTTGGCCCGCAGCTGCCAGTAGCCGGCGACAGAATAGCATAGTTGAACCATCGCGCACCTATGCGTGAAATGTAAGGAGAAAATTTAGTCCCAAATCAACCCCCACCGCAGGGAGTTCATTTCGGAATCCCATTCCCTACTACTGCTCCACTAGCCATCTGGAACAGGAGCCCCCCGGTCGAAAAAAGTTTGACTGGGACGGTTCTCACCCCCAGCAAACGCCCAACTAGCGGGATGGTTCTCGCCCCCGCCAAACGTTGGACTGGGATGGTTCTCACCCCCAGCCAACACCCAACTTACGGGATGGTACTCATCTCCGTCAAACGTTTGACTGGGACGGTTCTCACCCCCAGTAAACACCCAACTAGCGGGATGGTTTTCACCCCCGCCAAACGTTGGACTGGGATGGTTCTCACCCCCAGCCAACACCCAACTTACGGGATGGTATTCACCCCCGCCAAACGTTAGTCTGGGACGGTTCTCACCCCCAGCAAACGCCCATCTAGCGGGATGGTTTTCACCCCCGCCACGGTTGGACTGGGATGGTTCTCACCCCCATCCAACGCCCAACTTACGGGATGGTACTCACCCCCAGCCAGCGCATAAGTTGCGAGACGGTTCTCGCCCTCAGACAATGCCCAGCTAATATAAGGATACATCAATATTTAAGAGTTTAGATTGACAACACAAAAAGGGAAACAAAATTCATTGATGATTAAAGAAGTACAAGTCCGCAGTTGACATACCAACCAAGGCAAAAAGAGGAGAGGAGCCACTAGTTGACACACCAACCCTACTACACTTATATCTAAATTTACAAATCAAGATTGGCGATCATCAGCTACGACATTCTCATTAGTAGCTTCTCGGAGTTGTTCAGTCGCGCCTTCCTCAACATTCTCCAAAGCCTGCTCAGGGACGCCCGCTACTGCAACGCCGCCCCCATTCTCCATGTTAGGGCCAACCAAAGTTTCGTCAACAGGTTTTGTCGGCATGTCACGCCTAACATCATCCTCCTCAGGATTATCATCACTGTCGGCGTCACTTGTTGTGCCGGTCTCGGGCACGCCTTCATCTTCATCAGTCTCAGGCCCCTCCTCGATTACCTTCACCCAGCCATCCTCGAGGCGCTCAACTATCTTGTTGTCTTCCACCTCATAGTCGGGGGTGAAACCAGTCAAGTCAAGCTCATGATACCTAACAGAAACTTGTTGAAGGGCGTTGCTAAAAGAAGCGTACATAAGGTTAGCTAAGGCTTCCTCCAACTCTTCCACCCGCCCAGTGGCTTTTTTGAAGTCCTCATCTTTGGCGTGGAGGCTCCCGTGTGCAGCAAACAAATTAGCAGACAGCTGGTATTTCTCAGTTTGGAGACCCTCCTTCTCTTTCTTGACCTCTGCTAATGACTTGGTTAGGTCATCTTTGTCGGAAGATAGTCGCCTAACCTTATCTTTCGCTTTCTTCAGTCGCGAGGATAAAGATTTGTTCGAAGTTTTCGCCTCGGCAACCTCCTTACCAAGGCACCCAACCTCGGCAGTAAGACCATCCACCTTGCGCCCCATCTCACCCAGGCGATCCCTTTGAGAGGAGCAACACCTGTCAACTGCAAGGGCGATCTCTTGCATTCCTAAGATGCGGCCAATAACCACCTGGGTGCAGTTCATGAATTTTTGGCGATCGAATCGCTCTGGCACCATCATCTTAGGACGCCCCACATTGGGAAATCCGCTGTCAAGGTCCCTTTCAGACAATTTGAGGGCCCTGCCAACAGGGACCCCAACAGGAGAAGGAGGAGAATCTTGTACACCAGCCGCGGGGCAAGGCTCTCCGTCATCACAAGCACTGTTTACCAGCATTTCACCATCGCTTAAGTCATCAGCAAACTGCCCACGCTCGGATGGCTCAAGGCGCGGCGATTTGGAGGCCCTAGGCGGAGTCAAGTGTTCATCTCCCCCTCCTTTCAGACCAGACCCCCCAGTAGCAAGCGACCCTGACCCCAGAGTCGATTCACTAGCTGACGAGCCTCCCACCACGTTCATGGGCTCTCTAATTATTGGGGCAGTCGCCCTATTCTCCAGCACGCCAGCCGGAATATCTGCGGCAGTTCGAATCTTTTTTTTTTTCGGTTGAGTCTCTTTTGACTTCCCTTTGTCAATATCTTTCCTCTTCGGGGCGAGACTTGGCTGGGTTTGTTGAACCACGCCCCTCGAGGCTTTAAGCTTGGCCGCCGCCTCACGTGCAAGTTTCAGTGCATCCATCGACAAGTTTCCAACTGCAAGACAAGAAAGACAAGTGTTAGTAAAAGATAGGT